CTATGCCTTCAATGCTGGCATCGTGAGCGGCCATGATTAGTTCATATCTGGAAAAAAGATGAGATAAACATCAAAGAAAGGTGCAACGCTGTGTGCTCTAGAAGCGGGGAGAGAAGGAGTGGCACACTACGATGCTTTGAAGCCCTCTGAAGCCAAGTTTGGGAAAGGGGAGGGTAGCGACACACCTGCGAAAAGGAAGAGGCGGATCACAGTGGTGTGTATAGTTCGCGCCTGATCACTTAGATCGCGCAATTAGAGCAACTGCGACCGTACGCCGTTGCAACAGCCCACGGGTTGAGCCCGTTCATACTTGGAACATGGCAGAATAAGAGACCAGTAGAATAGAATAGTCGGAAAATAGGAGAGCGCGCACCAAAAGAAAGTATACGCATCGACTTCATGAACTGGGTTATCAAGAGAAAATAAAGCAGCAAGGAGGAAACAGATTGATTTTCTTAGTCTCTTATGCTTCCAGTTCCTCAGATGGACACTCACACATTCACATTCCACAGTGGCGGAAACTACGAGGGCGGTCTTGGACTGCTGCAACGGCCATCGCAAACAGCGTAGCGTAGAGTAGCGCCATGCGAGCAACCACCTGCGAAGTATGAACTTACACTCACAGTTAGTTGCGCCGCCACCTGACCCCTCTCCTAACTCCAGCGGTACTCAGGGCGTTGGGGATCGCCAGCGAGGAGATCATATCTGGTTGCTGGAGGGAGGAAGGAAGTCGTACTTCCTTTTGGAAAAGTGATTCCGCTTGTTGACTATTCCTTTTCCCCCTTTCGAGGTGCGCTATGTATCTCCCGCCTCCGCACGACGGCAACTTTCAATGGAGAAAGTGGATGAATTATTGGTCCGAAAGCCCGAAAAATGGTGAGAAGCTGGGAACATTCAGGAAGAGGGTGGGGGGGCGCAAAAGTTTCAAATATTCTCCAAACGGCACAACGTACCCTGGTGACAACGCTGATGTTGAGACCCCTTTTGCTCCAACCTCAGCTAATACTCGATCAACAAAAAAGTTTAAAAACAGAAGAACGTACTGGAATCTAACTTCAAACTTAGTAGTCAACACAGAAAGTTCTTCCGATGGAAAGCCGAGTGGCCAGAGAGGCTTTACATCTTACTAATTGAATATATCAAACTAACCTCAACGAGCAGAGCATGGCGTCACCTGTAGACGCAAATAACTCCCTAATATATGTCATCACGGCCAAGAATAATTCCTCATGATTACCAACAAACATAATGATATCTGGAACGGCTTGAGTAAGCAACAGAAAATGATTGCGCCGGTAAAATTGTGAAATTTCAAACCTTTGATCTCTTTCCATTGACGACGTGCTTTTGTAGTTTCAAATGTGAAAAAGTTGGTAGCCATTGGCTCAGTGGATAACAAAAAATCTTCCTTCCGTCTGCAACGTTTAGATAAGAA